CGGTTGAGCATTTAGTCCCCACTATCAGAAGCTTAGCATGGAGTCGAGATCAGAACGACAAGATGTTAAGACTGAACCTCGATATGATAGACGAAAGGAGGGACGCAGCGGCTATAAGGCTAGCATCGTATCAGCAAGTGCTGGCGAATAGTCACAATAAGAGAGTAAAACACAGGGATTTTGCCCCGGGCGATCTGGTTCTGAAAAGAAAGGTGGGGATGGTCAAAAAAATGATGCCACCCTGGGAAGGCCCATACAGAATTGCAGAAGTCATTGGCAAAGGGGCATATACGTTGGAAACCATGGCGGGAAAGTTGGTCAGCAAGCCCTGGAACGCCACGTCTCTGAAGAGGTACTACCAATAGAAGCTAAGTTCTGGCTTTAATTGGATGTTATTTGTTGTCAATCAAATACGTATGAATGAGCAAGTTACTGGAATTTACAAAAAAAGAATTTTATTTTCCAATGGTCTACTATAAAAATTCAAAGCTAAGTGGCAAGTGGCATTCTAGCCGAGCGCCAGGCACTTAAGCAAGACAAGTGGCAGCTGGCACTATAAGCCGAACGCCAGACACTTGCTAAAAATTTAAAGCCAAGTGGCAAGTGGCATTCTAGCCGAGCGCCAGGCACTTAAGCAAGATAAGTGGCAGCTGGCACTATAAGCCGAACGCCAGACACTTGCTAAAAATTTAAAGCCAAGTGGCAAGTGGCATTCTAGCCGAGCGCCAGGCACTTAAGCAAGATAAGTGGCAGCTGGCACAATAAGCCGAATGCCAGACACTTGCTAAAAATTTAAAGCCAAGTGGCAAGTGGCATTCTAGCCGAGCGCCAGGCACTTAAGCAAGATAAGTGGCAGCTGGCACTATAAGCCGAACGCCAGACACTTGCTAAAAATTTAAAGCCAAGTGGCAAGTGGCATTCTAGCCGAGCGCCAGGCACTTAAGCAAGACAAGTGGCAGCTGGCACTATAAGCCGAATGCCAGACACTTGCTAAAAATTTAAAGCCAAGTGGCAAGTGGCATTCTAGCCGAGCGCCAGGCACTTAAGCAAGATAAGTGGCAGCTGGCACTATAAGCCGAACGCCAGACACTTGCTAAAAATTTAAAGCCAAGTGGCAAGTGGCATTCTAGCCGAGCGCCAGGCACTTAAGCAAGACAAGTGGCAGCTGGCACTATAAGCCGAATGCCAGACACTTGCTAAAAATTTAAAGCCAAGTGGCAAGTGGCATTCTAGCCGAGCGCCAGGCACTTAAGCAAGATAAGTGGCAGCTGGCACTATAAGCCGAACGCCAGACACTTGCTAAAAATTTAAAGCCAAGTGGCAAGTGGCATTCTAGCCGAGCGCCAGGCACTTGCCGTACAAACACACGGCGAAGCTAATATAAAAAGAAAAAGAGAGAAAAGATATGTATGTACTGAAGATAAGTTGAATAAAGCACAACACATAGGGAAAAAGGGTTCTGTCATTTCATTAATATTGAACATTGAGTTTACAAAAGAGAGATGTCCATCATTACAAGAAGATATGAACTAGAAGAATTCGAAGGAGCCCTAGCTAGACGCCTCAGTACCAACAGCATCCTGGTCTTGCCGACTCGCCTCCTCGGCCCCATCAGCCGCCTCACCCTCGTGAGGTGGGGAATCCAGGTGAATGACTGAATCGTTCGGCTGGGGTTCAGCGTCAGCAGAGGCTATAGAAGGAGCCACGGTTGACGATTGGGGAGCAGTCAGTGGCAGAGCAGTAGGAGGAGCGGTGATGATCCTTGAGGATGCGATGTCCTGGCACTCATCAAATATACGTTCAGCTTCGGTGGGTTCTGGGTCGACATAGACCCCCAGAGGCTCGATCCCCAGATCCTTGTCTACCTCATCCGGAGTGGAGCTGGTCTGTCCCTCATCCGGAACCCGGTCGGCGAAACCTTCCCGGAATCCTTGAGCATACCGAAGAGCACCGACCCTGGAGAACCGAGCGTGAAGGGCCAGCATCCCACCACCCACTCTGCTGATCGCGTCGATCAGAGCGGTACGCTCGTCGAGAGCTCTTTTTTCAAAGGCCATCCGAGCAGACTGTTCATCAGCTAGAAGGCGCTGGAGTTCTGCCTTCTCTTCTCTGATTGATTCCCGCTCAGTCTGCCAGACGCTCTTCTCAAGCTGGAGGGCGTCCTTCTCATCCTGAAGGGAATCATTCTCCTTCTTCAGGACATCTCTCTCTTGCTCGGCTTTGTCAAGCCGAACCAGCGCCTCGGTATTCTTCATGGCAAGGAGGTCGTTTTCTTTGTTAGCCACCTCCAGGCTGTCAGAATACTTTCGGGCCCTGGCATTCCCCATCTCCACCTGCTTCTGCATGGCCATCATTCCGAACAATGTCTGCATAGGTGCACAATAAAAACGGTTAAACCAATAGTCAGAACGGGCGAAGGCAAGACCAAGTAATATAAGAGAATCCATGAGTTAGAAAATAAAAGTCACCTCCATAGCAGATTGGGGAAAGCGACTGAACACGTCCTTCTGGGAAAGACCCTTTGCCGCTTCAAGGTCCTTCGGAGTCCACATGCTCCTGTAGTAGGCCACAGCGGTCTGGCCATCCTTCAGCATGGTCTCGTTCGGTTTCACGAACGTCCCATCCGTTCGGGTGTATCGAGGGGCCCATGGCGGTAGGCTGGGGATAGAAGGTGGGCCCGAAGCAGAAGCAGAGCCACCAGCTGCGGGAGGCCCAGAGGGAGAAGGAGCTCTGATCGCTCGGTGCAAGAGAGTACCCGGCCCAGAGACCCGGGTCCTTCTAATGAGAGGCTCCTCCTCCGGATCGATTTCACTGTCAGGATGAGGCCTTTTGCCTCGCTCTTTGTCCCGACCGCCCCCCGCAGCAGCAGGAGCTATGGTAGCTGGGGAGGGCGCGTTCTGGTTGGCAGCAGGGGCGCTGGCAACAGGGTTAGTAGCCACTGCGCTCGGGACAGTGTCAGATATGGTGGCTGAAGAAGAAGCCGACGCTGGAGAGGAGGTCGCCCCAGCAGCAGGAGTGGCTGGGGGAGTATTTTTCCTCCTGCCAAAAGAGGGAATCTGCAGTCTGCTCATATTGTAGCCAAGTGATGAGAGCGCAAAGAGGTTGTCTGAAGTGAGGAGATCTGAGCAGGAAGGAATATCGTTCAGAACGTATCTCTTCAAGTAGTTACTCCTATCCCTGCAAACACTATAGCTCAAGTCATCACAAGGTATTCCCAAGGAGCGGCATAAGTAAGTGCAAAAACGAGGAACGCATGTTTCACAGGGGCAGTCATGTTTATGGGATTTGAATTTTTTATAGGAGGAGACAGAGCAGACACCAAAGGCGCTCGGGATTGGGTAATCCTCTGCAGCCGGCGAAGACCAAGCCCCACTAATGCCCACTATGCTATCCCTCCAACCCTTTTCAGATTTTATTGTGTCAGTGCATATGGACATCTTCTCGAACGGGTAGAGGTGGTAGAAGGGCTCGTTAGTACGGATCTTACTGACCTTATAGCACAGAAGGAGGTCTATGAGGTCAAGGTCCAAATTTCTGTCACGCATCAATAAGAGCATAACAGATATGATCCTAAAGAAGTTGGGGTTGACCTGCAGAGGGGATATCCCCAATCTATTGAAGACATAACTAAAGAAAGGGTGCAGAGGGAACCTAACAACATTCAATTGAAGGTTCGTGAATAAGACTTCGCCGGGCAGGAGGCCGGCGCCGGTCGTAATATTAACGTCTTGGGGGCAAACCCTAACTTCGATGTTGTCAGGAAGTCTAAGTCTCATACGAAGAACACCCAGATCTACAACCATGGTGGAAGTGCTAGAAGAATCTAAAAGAGGGAAAATGGAAGCCTGCCGAAAGTAAAAAGAACGAAACTAACCTCGGAGGACTGCAAGATCGCTGGGAGAATGACTCTCGAAGGATTTCACCGGAAAAGGCTTAGCACAGTTCTAGAAAGAGGGAGACTTGGCTGATGATGGAGACGGTAAAGGGAAATGAAGTGGAATTCTAGAGCATTATAAAGGCAAGGGGGCCCGAGGGCCGAAGCGTCGGGAAGGCAAGAAATCCCTCGAGCCCCGGAACATTGATTCTGGATCTGACCGTTCGCTCCCCCACGTGGTTATCTCGAGCCGTCAGCGTCATGATGAGACGCCATCAATAATTACCCCTTATTAAATAAGGGGCAATTATGGGGGCAGTTGAGGAGGCCCCGGATGACATGGGCCAGGTCCGACTCGCAAAACACAACCTTCAGTCCGAACAGCTGGGTCAGCCCATAGAAAGACACTGCCATATGGGCCGAGCAGGAGTAAGCCCATCAAGGGTGACCAGGGCTTACAGAGGAATAGGCCCAGGTCCAGCAATTAGTAAATATCTTGTAAATATCTTGTAAGTATCTATAAATAGGAGTTGGAATGAAGAGGAGAGGGATCTTTCCGGGTTGAGGTGTAAGAATTCTAGAGAGAGAAAGAATAGAAGGAGATTCTTGCATCTTCACAACCCGAATACGATTCAAACTCATAAAATTCAATTGAATTTATGAATACAATTGTATTCAATTGTATAAACCCGAATAGAAGGAGACAATTCAATTTGACTGATTTTTTTAAAATTTTAATCTTCTGTTATTTGTATTATTAGACTGGAGAGAGATTGATAATATGGGTAGATTTAATGTAATTGTAATTGCACCACCATCACAATGTAAAATTTCAATAATTAATTTATTTTGTTTGGCTTTATTTGTTGTATTTATTTAGGGTCAATTGGTATCTATTTTCATTTTTTGTTGGTGGGGTGTGTTTAATATTGATCGGAAGTATGTGGGGTAAAATAAAATTTGTTGCTTGAAAACAAAATAAGGAAAATATGTTTTTGTTTGTTTGTTATTTTTGTTTTTATTTATTTTTAATAGAAGACATGTTTGTTAAAAAACTGTGTTGAGAAACAAACTGAATCCTTTGAAAAGGTCACCTAGTGTTCTATTTTTTTTGCCCTCCCTGCAACTGTGTTAAAACATTAGAAAACACCATTATTATTAATTCCCTGTAGAAAAAGAAAAAAAAAATTAACGGTTTTCTTCTTAAAAAAAAAAATGAAAAAAGAAAAGAAAAGAACTAAAATTACTTTGCTTCTAAGAATGGAGATACTTTGATCAAATGCCAATTTAAAACTTTTTAAAATTATTATTAATTTAGCCACCATCAGAACAACAAATGAAAGTAATTACTAAAGAAAAGAATTGAAAATTTTCCTTTCTGATCATCAATACTTTGGCAGAGAGCACTCCTTTGGAAGGTTGTTGTGGAATCTATTGTTATCTTGGCAATAGTCATATATGAGGTGGTACTTCCTAACCCATTTGAACAATCTTCTCTGTGTCCTTGTAAGAGAGCTGTACCTTTCCTTGTTCCACCAATTGGTAGGGCTATCTGCCCTACAGAACCTTGCATTCCCTTTCCACACACAAGCATCAATCTTGTAGTTCCTGAATGAGGCTATGAAGGGACCCTTTGACCAGTCAATCTTGTCTTTTCCCCCTCGTGTCGCCCAGCTGTCACCGTTCCATAGGCTGATTTTGAGGCTCATTGGCTGCCACCTAGGATATGCCACTCCCTTGTCTGCATGGTTTCTGTACGTTCTGATTGGAACCCAATCCACCATGAATCTACAAGAAGAAGAAACAACTACATATTAACAAAATAAAGGAACATATTCTTTATCTTACAATGGTTATGTTTTACTATGAAGTGGTGGGTCTCACACACTCTCCTATCTCACAATCGTTGTGACGGTGTCGGGAATTGTAGCATTGCTTCTAAAATAATTGTCAAACAACTTTTGCAACTTTTTCCTCTGACTAAATTGATCATACTTTTGTTAAAAGTAATCGCTTGCAAGTAAAAATTAAGATGTAAAATTGAAAAATGAGGGATATTGGCTACTCTGCAGTCTTTATTTTAGTGATTATGTATACATATATACCATATTCGCATAATTATGTTTAGGTGTATTTATATAAATTCTGTTCTGTTGGTTATTTCTAAGGCTGTCCTCTTAACTCTTACCTAAAAATGTTGGGTACATGTTTTGACGGGATAGCTCAAATGAATAGAATTTTCAAAAGTAATATATCAAATTAGTTTGAAGATAGAGATGGCTTACACTATTTGGTGAAGGTTCCATAGTATAGAATAGGTATGGAAGTCCTTTGTTGGATCAAACCACAGATTAATTCTCTGTTCTCTGTTACCAAATCCATCCGCGAAAACATTTGTTTGAAGAATATATGGCTTCCCAGCCACATTGCCAAGGAATTCAAAATCTATCTCATCTCGATTTGGTTGATCAGATGTGAGCTGCATTCACAAAACAGATCAGTGGTGGTGAGCAATTATGTGAAAGAATAACATACTAAAGAATGAGAAGTGTTTTTGCTTACATAAAAGGCCACAACTGTGCCTGCAGAGTGACCTGGTACCAATTTTATTTGCATGTCTATCTCACCGAACAAGAACATGTCATTTGAAGCAAAACCAGAACCTAGAGAAAGTTCAATGAGCAAAAAATGCATAAGAGAATGAAAATTCAGAGTGACAACTACTTGTTTTTCGCATTTTTGTGAAAAAAAAAAAAAAAAAAAAAAAAAAAAAAACCTGATTCTTGGTCGAGTTTCAAGCTTCTTGCTCGGCCATCAGCAGAAGTGTTCACATGGCTAGGAGACCACGTTACAAAGAAATCCTTGTTGAAATCCCCTGTAGAAACTAGAGAGGCTAACGAAGTATCGATCACATTCATAGCAAAAATCCCAGTAAAGACAATGAGTCTGAAAAACTTGTTCATCGTTTCTTTGAATGGTTTGTTACGGTGGAGTATAGGAGGATGGAGGACAGACTATATATATATATATAGGTATTGTACCTTAGGGTGGTGAAGATGTGAAAAGAACCAATGCAGGTTTTGTTTTAAGCAAGAATATCTTTAGAAGGAAGCAAAGGAATGTTTGGCTGTTGGTATCTTATAATATGATTAAAGTTTTTAAGAGTGAATTAGTGTCTCATTTGCATATGATTACAAATGTAAATATTGATATATATAACAAAAATTGCAGTTTAGCTAATTTATTTACAGCTTCTAAGTCTCTGGTGTTGATTTGACTCAACCAATTGCATAAAGTTTGTGTGTACTATTCAATTTTATCATGTGAAGGAGCAATTTATTCCAAGCTTTACCCTTTGGCTTTTATCGGCAAGGGGCTTTAGCAGAAAGTTTATGAAAGTCCTTTCACTTGTGCTTTTCTTTTCAAGATAACTTCAAGCTTTCAAGCTTCTATTATTATTCTTTGAAAAACTTCAGTTCATTCCTTTCCTCTAATTTGCTCCTTGTACAATAGTGGCTCAATTATTTGAATCTAAAGTAGTTTTGGATAAAGCAGTTTGTTGTAGTGACTTAGTACTAATCATTGTGACACTTGAATAACTTCATAAGCAAGCAGATTTCATAGTTAAGCATAATTTAATGTGGAAAACTTGAGTTTGATCTAATCTTTGTCAAAGATAGCTTTTGGCATCATTAGTCTCGGAAGATTTATTTCCTTGAAAGAAAAGAACAAAGCAGAGGGACGACCATTCTTACCCACTTAAGCCAACCCGTTGACACGAATCTTTACAACAGAGAGGTTAAAAGAGTACTTCAACTTCTATTAAAAATAAAAAATTCTTATACAAGTCTAATGTGGAACTTTTGGCAGTTGCATACTAGCAATTGATGGCACCCTGAACCTGAATGCAAGCAGGTATATACGAAACTTTGATCCTGCAAGTCAATAATGGTTAGAAAATGCATCCTAAATAGTAAATACTAGTGCGAAGTTCTACAAGTTGATATTAACAAGTCTTAATGACTTGTGTTGAATAATGACACCGAAAGCACAATCATTTATGGAACTCAATAAACAACAAATTTTAGGGGAAACAGTTGAAATGAAGCCTCAAACAGGCAAATGGAGGTAGCATCGTACTCAAGCAATGTAGATTACAAGTACTCTGACTAAAAAGATAAAAAGATTTATTTAAGGTAGTAACTTGCCCGAACTGAATGCATGAAAGTATCAAACAGGCAGAAATAAATGATGTAGCATAAAACTGATGAACCTAACGATTAAATCATTCAAATGAAGCACAGGCAACACCATTTATTATTATTTTTCTAACAATACAAAGTACAAAACTTCATATGCCCAAATTTTAGAAACCTCTCTCTTAGGCTACCTTTGTATTTCAAAATGATTAGAGACAGAAAGAGCCAGAAATTAAGTTCAGGGGCATAATGTAATAAAATTTATAGAATTAAACATACAAAAATGAATTTTTAAAAGTTAATGGGGGCAGAAATTAATTCCTTTTAAAAATATACATACAAAAATAAAATTTTGTAAAGTTGAGTGGGGGTGGAAATTAAATTTTTAAAGAAATGTACATGCAAAAATGAAAATTTTAAAGTTGAGGGGGACAAATTTTAAATTTTTAAAAATTATACATATAAAAATGCAATTTTTAAAAAGTTGAGGGGAGCCCATGCCCCCAACCCAAGCTTGAACTGGCTCCATCCATGATTAGAGAAAGGAAAGGAATGAAAAGTTCAAAGATAAATTATACAAATTTTTCTTATAATTTATTATAGTTACAGAGATCTTCTTTGTGGTTTGAAAAATTATTCGGACTTTCTTTAAAAATAAAACTATCTTACACAACCGTCAAAATGACTAATAAACTTATTTAATCTATTGAAATACCCTCAAATTATTATAATAAATAACTAACTATCCATAAAATTTTATATATATACTAGTATATATATAATGAATCACTTTGTCTGTCTCTCTTTCCACCTACCCCCAAATCTGCAAAATGGCCATCCCACCATGGCGTTTAACCAATTCATGAACAAACACCACCACCGACCACCCATAACCAACTACAATCGTCTTTGTTTTTTTGCCTCCCTTTCTCCTCTGTAATGAACAATGTCACCAACGACCACCCACCACCGAGAAGTTTTTTTTTTTTTTTTTGGCTTTCTATCTCCTCTCTCTATGAACAGCCACTAACCACCACCATCCTCACCCGGTCACCTCCAAACCACCGGCACAATCTCCACCCTGACAACCACCACTAACAGGACCCATTACCCACAATCAAAATCCAAAAAATAATAATAATAAAAATTCCGCCATTGAATGTGATAGAAGGGGACTGTAGGATAGTTTCATTTTTAAGAGAGGTTCAAATAATTTCAAAAATGAAAGGTTCATGTTAAACATGTGGCTCAATTTGAGGCTTGCATCACCCATGATATTATCAAGATTCTTGGCCTCTAAGAATGTGTGCCCAGCAAGTCTTTTGAGTGGTCACCAAGTAGCCTCATTTTAGTGTCCCATTTTGGCTATAAATAGCCTTGCCCTCCATGGTGTTGAAGTATCCAAGATCATCAATGAGTATTTTGTAATATCAGTTAGAGTGAGAGATTTTGGGTATAATTGGATTTTGGGTGTGAGCCACTTAACCTTGTATCTCTTTATTTCTATAGTGAAATATTATTCTGTCTTCTTCCCGTGGACGTATGTATAACCGAACCACATAAATCCTTGTCTCGTTTGTATGTGTGCCATTTTATTTTCTTCTCATTTATTTTTCTTTTGTTCTCATAAACTCCTATTCGATCCTTTTTTCATAACAAACTGGTATCAGAGCTCGGGTTCGTGTATATTGTGTACAAATACTGTTCACACGTACAATATTGTTCACATATACTATTCGGGTACTATTCACAAATTCGGTATTTTTCACCGAGTAATTTTTTGGGGAGTTTTTTGAGATGTCGATTGGATATGAGATTGAGAAATTTGATGGCAAGATTAGCTTCAGTCTTTGGCGCATTAAGATGCAGGCCCTACTGACTCAGCAAGGTCTAAAGAAGGTGTTGTTCGGAAAGGACAAGTTGCCAACAGTTGTGTCTAATGAAGACAAGGATGAGGTCGATGAAAAGGCGCGCAGTGCGATTATTTTGAATCTAGTTGATGAGTTGCTGCGTGAAGTTATTGATGAAGACACGACGGCAAAGTTGTGGCTGAAATTGGAGAATCTGCATATGACGAAATCCCTCACTAACAGACTTTACCTAAAACAAAGACTCTACACCCTTCGTATAAAGGAAGGTATGCCTCTTAAGGAGCATATTGATAATTTCAATTCTATTAATATGGATTTGAAAAATACTGATATTAAAATTGATAACGAGAATCAAGCCCTTATTTTGTTGTATTCTTTGCCTTCTTCATATGAGTATTTTGTTACCGCACTGCTCTATGGAAAAGACACCATTAGTATGGAGGATATTAAATCCTCATTGAACTCTCAGAAGTTGAGGAAAAAGGTGTTTGAGAATATTGGAGATGAACAGGCTGAAGGTCTATTTGTAAGAGGCAAATGTGGGACAAAGGGTTTTGCTAGTAAGGGCAAATCTATATCTCATAAAAATGTGGAATGTTACTACTGTCACGAGATAGGGCACATCATCAAGCACTGTCCCAAACTAAAGGCAAAGAATGAGAATGGCAAAGAAAAGGTTCAAAAAGCAGCTTCTTTGGCAACTGCTACAACGAGTGATTCGGAAAATGACGATTATGTTCTCATGACAACCTTGTGTTCAGGCATGTCATTTAATGACAGTTGGATTCTTGATTCTGGTTGCTCCGTTCATATGTGTCCCAGTAGGGATTCTTTCTCTTCTTATAAAGTAGTGAAAGGTGATTCGATTTTGACGGCGAACATGAAAGCTTTCAAAATATTGGGAATTGGAACAGTTAAGATCAAGACGCATAATGGGTTGGTGAGAACATTGTCAGATGTGCGACATGTACTGGATCTGAAGATGAATCTTATTTCAGTAGGTATGCTAGACTCCGTTACAAGGTTGTAACAGAAGGTAGAGCAATAATGGTCGTGATGGATTCTCTTGTGGTGCTACAGGGCATCAAAGTGAAAAATTCGTATTTTCTTCAAGGGAATACAGTAACAGGTGGAGCTTCTATAGGGTCTTCTACAGTTAGCAGAAATCTGCGTTCAGGTGTTGGCAAAAGAAAAACTAGAGAGATAAGTGACGATCCTAGTTCTCAAAAGGGTTGTGAGGGGACTACACAATATGGAGGGAGAATGAAATCTGTTTTCAGATGGCAACCGAAATTGCAGCAGTCCTTACAGGGAGGCAGACCTATGAGAACAGGTGTGATATTGGCTTGTAATAATCTTAGTGGCAATGAGATAGTCCATTTGAGTGCCATTAAGATGTGTAGAAGGCAAGTAATTAGTCACAATAAAGATGCGAGGAAAAGTCAAGGACGTCCTATTCTCCACAAGGGTGAAAAGATGACTTTTCATTACCAACCGGTGGTTAGTGGGCGGTTGCTGAAGGTTGCTGAAGGAGATGTCAAACTTGGAATTTCTGAGGTTGCTTTTGGTAAGCATTTAAAGTTTGACACAAATACTGGAAGTATACTTGTGACTGCGCAAGACATGTATGGGTTGAAGAATGAGAGTCCGAGGGTTAAGTTTGAGGATGACTCAAACTTAACTCAAATTCTTAATTAATTTGTTTTGTGGAGAAGACAGTTTGTTTAGCAGAGATACAGTGGCTTATTTGAATTTTCGCCAAGGTGAAAATTTGTTAAACATGTGGCTCAAATTGAGGCTTGCATCACCCATGATGTCATCAAGATTCTTGGCCTCCAAGAATGTGTGCCCAGCAAGTCTTTTGAGTGGTCACCAAGTAGCCTCATTTTGGTATCCCATTTTGGCTATAAATAGCCTTGCCCTCCATGGTGTCAAAGTATCCAAGATCATCAATGAACATTTTGTAATATCAGTTAGAGTGAGAGATTTTGGGTGTAATTGGGTTTTGGGTGTGAACCACTTAGCCTTGTATTTCTTTATTTCTCTAGTGAAATATTATTCTGTCTTCTCCCCGTAGACGTAGGTATAGTCGAACCACGTAAATCCTTGTCTCGTTTGTGTGTGTACCATTTTATTTTCTTGTCATTTATTTTTCTTTTGTTCTTATAAACTCCTATTCGATCTTTTTTTCATAACAGTTCAAATAATTTTCAAATTATAAGAAAATCCTTGTAATTATAAAAAATTATAAAAGAGATCCGTATAATTTATCTAAAGTTTAAATAACTACCAAAAATAGGCCAATCCGAGTTTTTCCTTTCCCCAACCTAAAATAGTTGTTAAATTAATAAAAATGACGAGAGATCTATTTTGTCAAACAATTGTATCATTTCGTTTATTAAGAAATCAAGTGAGTTTGAAAATATTTTTTTTAGAGTAATAAAATATTCCAACCCAATTTATACCAATGTATAAACTCTCAATTTCAAAAGTTACATGAGACCGTGTCCAACTAGCTTACTTGTATGTATAGTTGATAAAGTAAAATAATTGCACCACAGACTATCCATTATCAACTTTCTTTAATGGTTGATAAGGTTGTTTATGGGTGACATTAATGATCATGACTCGTGAGTCCCCAGCCCAATTAAACTTCAAAAAAGGGCCGTTAGCAAAATCGTGATACTCCTGCACCTTTTGATTAAGTCACAATTGCTGCAAGTAGCCCAAAGTTGTTGAAATTTTAATAGGTGGGGGAATGGGTTAGGGGAGAGAAGTGACCCGTTTGAGTTGGGTCGAATAAAGAACATGTTATGAGCTATTGTGATAAAGAGGGTTTCAGGCTTACAAGAGCGTGTAGACATCACTATCCAACAATTCAAATTTTTAATTCGAATGGCAAGGATCCGACCTATCACAAATTGTACGAGAGCTAACTCATTCTTTAACTTCTGTGTCACACCAAACATCCAAATAGAAGACTGGGTGAGTCATTATTGGATCTTCTTGCTGAGAGTGATTTATAAAGACGAGTAGACAACACTATCTAATAACTTATCCTATTAAATTGAATACCAAACGTCTCATAAGCACTTTGAAATTTTAAATGGATCAAGTGTGGAGAAAGGCAGCCCTCCTCCATACCCAATCCATTACCATCCTTATAACAGGGTGGGTCACAAGACACGATCATTAAACATGAACAAATCCGAAAACCCGACCCATCTGTAGATGCCCAACTCCCAAGTCTATGTATGTACCGTATGTGGAGTATTTTATTGCAAGTAGCCTTGTTTTTGGATCCAAGCATCCAATAGGTAAAGACAGAGAATCGTAGAGGAGCTGTCCAGTCCCAGTACAAATCCAAACCATAACGCAAATCTTTTTCGGTAAGAATTCATTAGCACAAATAGTACTGAAAGAGAAGAGAGACCTCTTTGACTACATACATACATACATACAAGTTAAACCATAACCGGGTCTTTTTTGTCGCTTCTATACAAATTTCTCTTTCTTGCTTCTTAGCTCCTCCAGGTATCATCAATTCTTTCTTCTTCAATTCATGGGATACATATATGTGTGTGCGCGTTTGTGTGTTAATTTTAGATAATATTAGAAATACAGTGATTATTTATTGGATTATTTTTTAAATTGATTTTGTTGATGCTAACCAATTGTAGTGAAATGAGGTTTTGGGTTGTTATGTGGAAGAAATTTTGTTTTGATTCAAGTTTTTGGTTTTTGAAGTTGGCATTATTGCTCAAGGGGTTTTAGGGTTTGTTTATTTGTGGGTTTTTGATGTTTCTCGTTGGGGTTTTGCATAGATTTATAACTTTACCTTGTGTTGTTTGTGCAAGTCTGCTATAATGGTTTTTATTTATTTTTGGGGAAAGATGGAATAGTCTCTTTTGGGAAGAAATTGGAGTTTGTAACTTAGTAATTTGTGTGTGATTATAATAGAGCTGAAATTTGGTAGAACTAAGATTACTTTGAAAGTGTACCCCCTCTCTCTCTATCACACACACAAACAACAAATTCACTCTTCAATGAACACTTTGTTGAAATGATTTTTCTTCCTTTTTTGCAGGTTAAAGGATCTTTCTCGTTTCAGGTATTCTCGGTTTTTTTTATTTTTTTTATGACCTTAAAGAAGCACAAAATACTAATTTCTTTTTTCGTCTTTCTTTTCTCACTATTGTATTTCCTTTCTGTGTGTGTGCAAAATTTGATTTATAAAATTGTGGAACTTAAACTCCTTAAAATTTTAGGTGGGGTGAACTGGAGTATCTTCTAAGAGTTCAACTTTGTTGAGCAGGTTATCTAATAAAGTGTGCCCTGATTTGAACTTTGAGTTGGATTTAACACCTTTGCTCTTGTTTTACCTGAAAATTTGAGGTTCAACTTCGATTCCTACTTATGAAATTCAAAATAGAAAAAGAAAACTTTGGTTGTTACAGAAGTAGAATCATTTTATAAATTCAAAACCATGAATAGGCTTGTTGCGACAATCTTCGTCTTCTAGAGTGAATTATTCTAAATGTATTGGGATAAAAACTCACATACACATTATGGTTTCCTCTAATGCGTTTCATTCACATCTTAAATCTAGGCATCTGCCACAAAAGAGCTGAATGAAACCAAACTTTTGTGTTCGGTTTTTTTTTTTTTTTTTGATAAGTAAGATATCATTAAAGACGCTCAAGAAGGGGAGCAAACCCAAAAGAAAACAAAGGCCGCCTAAGGCGACACTAAAGATTCAAACTATCCACAAACTCCAAAAGATTCCCCATAGATATACAATTATGCCCGAAAACCCAAAAGAATAAAGAAGAGTGTATGTTGTATTTGATAGACCAAATTGTAGATTCTTCTCCATCAAAATATCTTATATTCCTCTCGCGCCACAATCCCCACCATAAACAAAGGGGAGTGGCCCTCCAAGCATCTCTGACTTGGTTCTCCACTATACACCCTCTCCAAGTCTCAAGCATCTCCACTGTGGATTCGGAAAAAACCCACGTCCTGCCAAATGCAACCATTAATAACTGCTACCTGCAACAATTGATTTATATAAGAATGTTACACTTTGCATATTGATTAGAGTAATATGTAAATTAAGTAAAAGTAATGCATCATTAAACTCAATATACAATTTCCAAAATTCTTTCAAAAATATTCCTTTTTTTTCTTTCTTTCACACACAGAGTAAAACTACGGAAAATTAAAGCAGACTGAAGCATCCATTGTCTAATGGATAGGACACAGATCATGTGATTGTTCTGCCCCTTTCTTAAGCTTAAGCAGTGGAATTATCTCGTTCAACACTTTAGAAACTTAAACCATGAATGACATGTTTCAGATTGGTGGTTTATTGTTTTCTGCCTCTGATAAACTCTTGTTGAGATTTGATACATATTGGGTTTCTAGGCAGGTTCCTCGCTTTTTTTAAATAGTGAGAATATTGGGGATTCCATCATGTTCAAGCCTTCTAGTAGAAACCAGAGGTCCAAAGGCGTCAAGATCAAGCGTGTCCTGCAAGTCTGTTTGCTGCTGGCTGTTTGCTCTTGGTTAATTTACCAAGTAAAGCATTCCCATGATAAGAAGAAAGAATTTGATGAAAACAACTTGAAGATTGCTCTTAAAACACTAAGTGGTGATGAAATTTTAAAATTGGGAAGGAAAGATCTCCATCCTCGAGTGGAAGAAACCACTGCAGAAAATGAGAAGCATGATGAAGAAGAAGCAGTAGAAGAAGAAACTGGAGGAGAAGAACAGAACAAGCATGAAGAAGAAGTAGAAGAGCAAGAAGATGATATCAAGATTGAAGAGAAAGAAGATGAGAGAGGGGGTGGAGATGATGAGATAGATGTACATGACATAACGAAAGCTTTTGATGATGATCATGAAGACGAACTCGCTGATGAAGAGGAGAGAGAAGAGGGCGACAAGAAGGAAAGTGAGGAGAAAGATGCTGAAGATAAAGATGGTCAAATTGAGAATGAAAGTTCTTTGGACCAGGATCATGATGGTGGAAGCAATGCTCACGAGGCACGAGAGGAACATTATAAGGCAGATGATGCTTCAAGTGCAGTGACCCATGATACCCAAACTATAAGCATTGAAACTGAGAAAGGAAGCTCAGAGAACTCAGATGAGAATACTGAAATGACTAATCTAGAACAGGAAAATGAAGTTAATAACACTGAGGAAATTGATGATGGACAGAATAGGACAGGATTAATGCTGGGAGATGGTGAAATGGCTGAAAATGGCACTCGTCTAAATGAAACAGCCAATGAAGAAAAGGGTTTTGAGATTGTTTTGCCAAAATCCGAGGATAGCGCACTTTCAAATTCTACAATACAAGTAGAGTCCAACAATCTACTAGAAGTTAGCATCAACTCTACAGAAGTGAGTACGGAAAATCGTGATTTATCCTTGCCGAATGGAACAGAGACCACATCAGACTCAACCCCAGCCCAAAATGCCACAGTAGAATTCTCAACATCCGGCGACGTCTCCAACTTGCAAACCATTTCTCTAGAGCAGGCCAATAACCATATCGTTGCTTTTGATAACAATCAATCTGATTTTAATTCAACACTTTCCACGAAGTCTGAAACTACAGAACCTGTAACCACAGGTGAATTCTCAAATTCCTCTGCTAATTCAGAGTCTGCTATATTGGGAGAGGTCATAAGGTCCAATGCGTCTACTGAAACAGAGAACAGCTCTGGGTCTTCGACAGCAGAGAACATTGATGCAACTCAGAATGAGAAGTCTGACACCAGTGATGAAATGAATGAAACAAATGAAAGCTCCAAAACTGAGAATGAAGTTGAAGTTCAAACCGATGACATTGTTTCGTCCGATTCTTCAATCCTTTTAGAGGAGAAAGAGATTCGGACGGATCCGGATACTTTGCCAGATATTAGAACTGAAGGAAGTAACAGTGAATATGCTGAAGAATGAGAATTCTTGCGCGTGCTCTGTCTATGAATATGCTGCTGAAGAATGATAATTCTTGCACGTTCTGTGTCTATTGTCAAAGGTTTTATTTCTTCTTTGTTATGCTTAACAGACATGTCAGGTCATAAGGGTATTTCTGCTTGATTGTGTGAAAATTGTATCAATATCTAGAGCAGACAGTTTCAACTTCGCAGGCAAAAGGAAGTAGATATTCTTTAAACTTTTAGTGTCTTTTATCTAAATCCCGATCCTTGCAACATGATTTGTTCATTTGTGACGAAATTATCAGCATAGACTGTGATATTGTAAGGTGCTGAAGTAATGTTTTTGAAAGATATCTAGAATGCTTTTGAAGGATATCCCACAATGCTCTTGAGAGACACGAACCCCCTCCCTTTCACTTTGAAAGAAGAGGAGATACCACTATGGCAACATGCCTTGGTGGTGGCTAAATTTCATATTACAGTGGGAACTTTTTAGAAATTCTATTTTCTCCCTCTGGGTGGTCAAACTTGGAAATTTATTACTACTTTTTAGCATGAATGCTCCTATTAGTCATCCAACAACCTGAGATAAGAGGGCAACAACACTTCCTGCATACTGTTTTTTTTTTTTTTTTTTTTGGGAAAGTTAAAGCAATTATGCACACACCCTACCTCCACCGAGGTTTGAACCCCCGATCTCCCCTTTGGGGGAGAAGGGTTGATACCGCTGAGCCATTTGGTCCTTTGGTTACTTTGCGTACTTGTTTAGAAACAAAACTGTTGACTTGAAGCGTTGAAGGTTTTTGAGGAAAATGGTATAGGGCTTAAAATGAGTTCAGATAAATTCTATTGGACTCTTTTCTCAAGGAAAATGATGTTTTTCAAGAATTCTGTTGGTGATTTATGCCAAGTACTTTCATCCAATTGCAAATTTGCAATAGCTTATGATTACAAATCATTACTCAAGGCAGATGATTGTCAATATATTCTTGTCATGGTTGCACTGTTCCATATCAAAAGCCGATTACAATTGTCCATTTATCACCTGATGGGCTAGGTAGGCAAACAATTACCAAACAAGAAAGCTTGAAGAGAGATTCAAGCATTAATAAATCATTCTTCTGAAGACAGTGTTGTAAATATATCAACATCTTGAAGTATTAGTACCAAAATGTTTAAATATCAATCACCTGTTAAGATAGTTGCTAGGATGTGTATGAGATTAGTCATTGTGAGAAAAATAGTGACCGAAGTTAAGCTTGCATTCAATCTTCTCTACTGAGCACTTGCGTTGGCAGAACCAACGTCAAGATTATCGTTTATCGAGATGGAATCTGCAACAAAAATCTCAAACGGGTCTAAGGTGATGCTAAACAAAATTACAAGCTTTGGAAGGCAAATTAGTTCTCTATATGGGAGCAATAAGGGTATACTAGATCATTGTGGTCTCCCTTTTGCTATATACCATGCAGACATGGAACAAGAACGGCTAGTTATGGGATTAAATTGAGTTGGAAGTGTAAAATGTTACATAATCGAATAGTGAATCTCTGGACAAAGCAAGACACAAAAACATACAACTGCAAATGAGATAATGAAGCAGGGTACAGAGACCAAATTCCTCCCTTCATCAGCAAAAATATTGAGCAATTCTGTCTAAAATTTTATTCCCCTTTCACTGAAGGTTGAGGTTGATGGGCATTCCACTGCAACAACATCCATATGATCGATGTGCCTAATCAGAATCATGAGAATTTATTAGTGCTAAGAGAAGGAATTTATAAATTGTGACTGCTTACTGAGGTGTATCCTCGTATGTGTATATACACATACACACTGTGTGTGAGACTGTGTGTGCCCGCGCGCGCAAGAGAGAGAGAGAGAGAGGGTAAAACTATAATAATTCAATAGCAGAAAAGTTAATTCGAAAAACGTCAGAGCAACACATATTTGTATTACCAGTTACTGGATTTTGAAAGATTGTCATATTAGCACTTAAGGAAATAAAATAAAAATAAAAATAAAAGAGGAACAGCATATTAGCTTCATGGTAGACTATTGGTAGTAAAGAATCTGTGTTTCGTTCTTTATCATTTTTGTCAAGCAACAAAACAGGCTCATGAACCATAGAAGAAATAAACTTGTTCAGCAGTACGAGTTAATGAAGAATTTGGCCATATAAAGTGCTCAATGGCAAAGAATTGAAGCCAACCCAAGTATGTACAATTAAAGGTTTTCAAACTAAGCATGTGTGTACCTCAACATTTTTCATTAGAACTATCATTAGCTAAGTGATGGTTCAAAATTGTTTGAATTTAACTTTGCTTTCATGAATTTTCTTCCTATAATAGTGTCCAAAGAATTTGAATCACAACCATATATACACCGGGTCTGTTGGGTGCCAGAGCTCTCCTTTTTCAGGAGAACAATTTTCCAAGTAGGTTGACAATAAACAACTGAACAAGCAATAAAGACAAATATAAAAACAAAAACTAACATAATTAAACAAATCCAATAAACTTAGAAATTATCCAGTTTCGGCAACCCTCTACTCTTTACAAGGCTTCATCTTATAATTTTAGTATCAAGTAATAAATAAAAAAATAATCAGCCTTTCCAGGAAACAATGCCAGATTTCATCTTAATGTGGAAAATCACTATCAGTCAGTGGATGGATGCAACAATGATATAATTAATTTCCATGGAAGCTTATTTTTGTAATAGCGAGTGAAGAAGATAATCAACAGAATCTCCTGTATTGCTTTACTCAGATGATATTAAGCCAAGGATATAATTAATGTCGATGGAAGCTTATTTTTGTAATAGCAAGTGAAGAAGATAATCAACAGAATCTCTTGTATTGCTTTACTCAGCCAAAGTTCCCAAAACGTACTGATTTTTTTTTCCATATAAGTTTACCATTAAAATACACATCAGGAAAAGTTTAAACAGATATGAAATTTAATAATGTAAAGAGATGAAAAATAAATATTGCATTTTGAGAGTTAAAATTCCCACTCTATTATGATAACAGTACTTGCACAACTGTCACCAATCTCAATTTTGTGAAATCAGACAAACAAAATAAGGCTCTACTTTAAAGACAATGAAAGTGGTGCACATTTGGTCATAGCAATGAGTGACTCTAAAATGTAACCACTGGGCTATTAGCCCAACTAGTATAACCTCTCCTCCCTCAAATGAGAAGTGAGGAGTTCAAGCCCCATAGTGGGCATTTGTGGGAGTGTGTGAGTATTTACCTAACCAAAAAAACATGAGAGACTAAATATAATAATGAAAAAATGATGAAAGTAACATTAGGAAAATCAATACCTGCAAAGAAGCTAACAGTCGAGAGATTTCCAATGGCCATTGTCTGGTATATTAGGTATTCACTCAAGAAATGACCAAATGCGTAGATGAATGACAGAAAGGTTGCTATATAGAGTTGCTTGTTTTCAAGATTAAATGCACAGAGAAAGCAGAGAGTGCAAGTAAGTAGAGTCCAGACCCCAAATGTCCTTCCATGAACTTCAGTCACTATAGAGAAAAAAAAAAAAAAAAATGTGAGAGAGAGAAAGAGAGATAAAAGATTGCTCACTGGAAAATCAACCTCATAAAGCATACTGTAATAGTCGCACAAGGAAACAAAAGATATAAACTTTTACAGGCAAAAGGTCATCCAAAGCAGTATATGAACCACAATGAAAATGACATCACTTATAGAATAACTGGTTTTTACAGTTTAGTTTGGCCATGGTGTTTTTAGCAACCAATACAACATATATGGGCAATATGAGTTGATATATACTAGGCGAAAAAAATTTAGATAATCATCTAAAGACAATAAAATTACCAGAAACACAAACTAGAATAATATCGAGTAAAGTGTACATTTTTTTATGGTTGACATGGTCCAAAGATCAGCAAAACTGATTAATTATACTTCAAACGTGCTATTGATATTTAATAGTCATTACTCTCCTTAAAAGTTCCTAATTGGTATAGTCTTCTCCTTATCCTTAGCACCATAAGTTTCTTTTGCAAACTATTTATACTACTCGCTAATATAGATTTCCAATAGAAGACAAGGAGATTTCAGATCCCACATTAATCAAGTTTTTACTTATATTTTTTTCTACTAATAGAATGTCAGTGTTGTATAGGTACCACCTGATTTTTTTTTATGGCAATACATGTTAATAATGCATCAACAACATATACCTAATATCGTCCACAATATATCTTGTTCAAAATTTGCTTTTTGTGTAATGTGAAATGTAAATAAGATTACAGAACCAAATGTAACCCCACAACTACCTATATGTATAACGTATCATACAACAGATCTTGTTAAGCATAAATTCAGGAAGTCCATCCAATATATTAATGAAGAAACAATGTCCACAAGTGTGCATGCATAATTGCACATTAACTTGTCTGCTTTTGGGGGGTGTGTGTTTTTGCACCACGTTATCACCAGAATAGACTATAGAGCAAGGGGGATTATATAGTCAAGGAAATGAAGAAGCGTGTTGAAGACCACAGCATGGAAAAAAGTTTACATTTAACTGGTAGCAGGTATTAAAAATTTATGCTGCATCTTTCCACGGGCAATAATTACTTTAGTGATGAAAAGTTTCTGAACTTGTGTCATGAAGGATTCAAAACTGACACTGCAAGTGTTGTACAGAGACAACACATTGGGACACAGTTATATCAATTACTTCATTATGTTGGCAAATAAGTGAATATGTTCAGCAAGTTGGAGAACATTTAGCATTCTTAACCAATAAGTAACAGAAATTAAAAGACAGCAACGTGTGAGACTGTGAGTATCTTCTCTGAGCATCACACTCTCATCTCTACAAGTGGAGTTTCTGCTAAAATGGTCCATTTATATAATGGATGGATTCAAAATCAAAGGGAATTGAGTTCGCATAAAATGTTGGTGATTTAAGTTGGATTTCAAAGTTCAAGATGACATTAGATTAGATGTATAGGAGAAATATTTCATTATAATAATTGTGCAACTTGAATCCTTGTCGGCATGGATTTAAATTACTCCTTGTCCCTTGTTATTTGAAATTCACATATATAAATCTTTCAAATATATTCATTTGAAATCCATTTAAATCTATCAATTTATATTTATTACATAAGTGAACTTAAATCTACTCATTTGAAATCATTCATTCCAATTGGACCCTTAGAGTCTTATATAGCTAAAAGTTACTACCTACCTTCTCGAAGGGTTTCGAATGTGCATAAACACCATTCAGCCATTCTTTTAGCTTAACTTAAGAGCATAAATAGTGATCAACTAACCAAAACTGGCACCCAAAATTCAAAATTAAATCATCCTCTATCTAATAAGATGTAATTAAAATAACTCATAAGAGAATTGACTAGTTTTGAGTGGAACACATGGTAGCATGTTTTAGGCTCAATTTCAGTAACTCTCGGTGCTTCATCTAAGAATGGGGAGGATTCAATATTCGGGTGTAAACCAACATTACCCCTCTGGCTACAAAGAGAACAGATGAAAAGGAAAGCAGATCTTTCAAAGTCTTAGGTCTGTTTGGTTCAAATTTCTGTGAACAGTTCAAAAAACTGAAAATCAAAGAACTGTTTTTTTTTTTTTTTTAAATGTAAGAATTGATTTCAACAGTAAGAGTCAGTAAACTTTCCTACATATTGTCAACAACCAAACAGAACTCGGATCCAAAGAATCAAGATAAATCCCATTTCATTTCATATATCAACAATCAATTCAAAAGATTGTGCCTGTGTGCACATATGTGTGTGTAGAGAGAGAAGGAAAAGAAGAAAGACTGACTGGGAGATTTTGAGAAGACGGCGAGACGTAGAGCCCAAATGTCGAAGAAACCGAACCAAACGGAAGCGAGTCTGAGTGAACCCACCAACATCAACCACCATCCTAACGCTTTCATTTTCTTCCTTCTCTGTCTTCTGATTGTCGTCAAGAAATATGGATCTTTGTAATCGTTTTAATAACTTTCATCAGATTAAATTAAACGCCCTTCAATTGGAATATTCGGAACACTTGTTTGTCTCCATATTATATAATATTATACATACATAGATATATACACATGTATGTATATATATATATATATCAGCCGCTTTGCCTCGCTACTCTGCCACTCTCCCGCTAGTGAGACTGAAAAGTGAAAACTATCCAAATCTTCATTTAGGTCTCAAATTACAGAGAGAATAATAATAATAATAAATAAATAAATAACAATAATAAAATACGGAGTAATATCATGGCATAAAATTTCTCAAAATCAGCAAGCCCGCAGAGCAATCAAAGCCCAATAGACTCGGGCCTAGGTTTCCAAATTTGCAGGCCGAATTGGCCCGTTATGGCCCTTATATATGAAAATGGAACATTTGAATCTTTCATATTTTAAACGAGTGTGTTCACGAATAAACAAATCTTAAAGATTTGCATCCCTTGAAACACACACATATCACAGATTCTAAATGTTGGTGTTGAATGATCATTACATTTAAAATCCAAAACATGAATCATCATACCCTTCAGTTATAAACAAATTTTGGGACTTAAATCATCAGAATTTATTGGGTCATAAATCAATATCAGAGGGTGATTGGTTGTGCATCACAAAACAAAACAATAAAGATCATTTCATTATTGCATCAATGAACCTTAGATAGGTGAAAATCCTTCACCATTCATGTACAACCATAACTGCAAAATAGAAATTAAAGTCTAGTGAGGTACTAGCCTGACACAGCCACCAATTATGAACAATACACCTTTCAGAAAAACCCATGACCACCATATCCAAAACTCTGGATTGTTTGATTAGTACTACTACTTGAACCGGCATATCTCAGATCATTAGGTTTTCTCTCGAAAGGAAGAACAATTCCAGTACCATTTGTTGCAAAAAATGGCGAACCATTTGTGGTCTCGACTAACAATTTGTTAGTTTGATTTGCTACATTCTTCTTAAGCTCCTCCATGGAGTCCTTAAGTTGTTCAAGCTCCTGCAATCCGAGCTTGTCAATAGGGGCCTCCCACCAGCACCGGCATTGGCTAGCTTTCCTCATCCGATCAAGGGCTTCGCCTGTTTTTCTCCCGGCTTCCAACTCGTTGAGGAGTTGAGTGAGGTGTGAGTTGAGTGCACGAATGCTGGCATCGCGATGAGCCTCAACGAGATGGAGGGCATTGGAGTTTGGTGCAGTGTTCCGAGTGATGAAACGATCCACCATGGCCTCAACATTGGGGTGTCCGAAAGAGAACACCTTCCCTGCAGGGGAGAATACTACAATTGCAGCCTCTACACCACACAGAGTGCAGAGCTCACTTGCCTTCTTGAAAAGGCCTGATCGACGTTTCGAGAATGTGACTTGCAAGTGATTTTTGATCTCTATTTTCGCCATTTTGATCTTTTGTCGACCCATGCTTGGCTTCTTTGCCATGCCTTAAACTGTAAGAAAAATAGAGAGGACAAGATTTTGCTGAATTTTCAAGGTTTGATATATGCAATTTAAAGAGGATTGGAATTGAATATCAGATGGTGTTTGGGAGTTTCAGTTTCAATTCCCATTCTCTTATTGTGTGTGATTAATCCATTGATTTGGGAGTTGAAAATCTTATCCTCTAAATGCATATATATTGTGAAATCAATTTTCTCTTAGTTGGCATAATACAGAAACTACTTGACTTTGGATTTCAATGTCAACTTTCTTTGTTGGTGATATTATTTGTGAGAATCTTATCCTCTTAAATTACACAAATCATGAAATCAATTTTCTCTTTAGTTGGCATTAATATATGAAAAATTACTAGACTTGCATGTCTAAGTCATTGTAGTGAGAACTAATTTGGAAATTTTTGGCATATATTAATTAGTGGGTGCAAGTTCAAGAACAGAAATTCAAGAGTTAATTGGAAAGGTAATGAGTGTCTCGGAAATTATTGGGAAAAATATCAAATATGAATTTCTTGGAGCAAAAGCAGTGCATGTTGGGGAAGAAGGGGAAAGAAAAAATACATTAATGTTTATTCAATAATAAATATTTACAGAGCATAATTCCAGAAATGCACATATACACAAGGTAAAATATGGGGTAATTTTTTTTTTTTTTAAATATTATCTGGAAAATTAATACTAATACATTGTTGAGGGAAGTTATGCATAAAATTAGCAAGTAATTACTACTTAAACTTTATTATCATTATAACTATTAGTTAAAGGATATATATATAGGTGTAAAGGGCATGGTGTTGCCAGCCACACAAGACCTTAAAGGCTCATTTAGCAGCAACGTACGTACATAGGCTTTAGAGAAGAATGTCAAAGCTTAATACCACAAAAACACACGCACACAAAACAAAAGCTATGAATAATTCATGCATTAGAAATACCATATCCAAACCATCAAATACTACTTTCCCACAACTTTCTCCGAACAGTTTCATGCTAATCAAATGAACACTAAAAATGTTAGAATTTAAAATCAGGGGAGAATTGTTGAAATTAAGTGCCAAATAGATGTTTGTCCCTAATGAATTTAAAATATCACAGCGACATTAACAACCAAGTATGAATTTTATGTTTTCATTCCCTGTCTTGTCCAAAATGCACATTTGGGCCTATTGGTAATGTTTTCTGTTTACCGACTCTTTTCGCGTCTTTTGGGCCCAAAGAGCCCAGGTCTATTTTGTAATTTCCAACACTCCACATACTCATTCTGTATATCTGTCATACATTATAACATCCAAGAAAATGCTCAAATGTTGAACACCTCAGCTCCAGACTACGAAATATAAATTAAATATATAATTATTTATTTGGATAAAATCTTGATCATAGTTTAGAATCAATATTAACCGAACAAAAACAGGTGATCATTTTTTAAATATTCAACATTATCCCCTAGATATGATTTCTTATTAATAGACATATTATAAATATATGTAATTTACAGCTCACTTGAAAAATCACAAAATATGCACGACCCATGATTATATAAATATGTATATCGTTTTTCTTAATATTAGTGATGATGCGACCATAAATACTTGTTTCTAAACGTGCAAACGTTTTGCAAAGATATGCTGCTACATCATAATTTTTGGGGCTTCCTATATGGTCCCTTAAATCAAAGAGTTGAGCCCTAGCTTATTGATAATGCAAGATGGAGTGATGATGCAACAATATCTTGCCTAGTTAGACATGATCAATGGAGAATTCATCAATTTTTTCGACCTTTGGTTCCAACCATTGATGGTATTGACCTACTTCCACACATTCATGGTGATTGTGATGACAGAGTCATTTGAACTTTACCTCACTCGGGTGTGATTAATCTTAAGCATACATACAATGCATGCCTTGATCCAGCTCCTCTTTCCCCCTGGATTACAAACGTTTGGTTCCCTAATTTTGTTCCAAGACATGCTTTCATCACTTGGTTTGTTAAGATCAAACCACCACATAATATTCCTCCATTATTGATTTCCTAATATATATTATACCAAGGGAATTCACTGTTAATCCCTCGGATCAAGGGATATGATGTTGTATATATATGTTCATTGCACATAATAGAATATACAGAATTCTTCTCACATTATATTTTTCTCATGGTATCAGAGCGACAACACTCTTGGTAATCTACATCGTTTGCTCATTTCAGCAAACCCCTACTGATTCCGTTGCTCTTTTGTCTATTCCGACAAAAGAATCAACAAGTCATAACAGAATCATCCAGGCAATGAAGGAGAATACATCGATTGGATCTAAGCATGAAGATCCAAATAATCTTTTGTATCTCCATCACTCTGACCATCCAGGAGTAGTCTTAGTAACTTAACCCTTAACCGAAGGCAATTATAGTACATGGAGGCGTGCTATGGTTATGGCTTGGAGTGCACCAACGCATAAAGATGTGCAAAAGATAGTGAATGTGCAATGTAGCCAAGTTTTACATTTATAAATGCCACTACTACCATTAACTAAAAATATAGCAAGGATGACTAGGGATTGTCCCAAGTGATTGAAGGGCTACTAGTAATGGAATAATGCTTAGGGTTAGTGGGTCGAGTGATCAAAGGTAGGTTGTTTGGTTGATTAAACTACAATTAAGATTAAACAAAATCAATATAAAACAAGTAATTAAAGGATAGAGAAAACAAAAGAGAGAGATCTTGGGACTTAGAGATCACCATTAAGCATCACCTTTCTATACACTCAATTCACAATTAATGAGGGGGAAAACATATGTTGCAACAATAATAAGTGTGTGTGGTTGTTTTTACAAGCATTGATGACCAATTAAGTATATATTGTCTAAACAATACAATGAATAACACAATACATAAAACTTGTCATTAATCATTCTTTAAGCTCACAATCCAAACACATCACATAATTAGAGAAATATACTACTTGCATTCATAAGTATGAAACATCAAACAACAAGTATGGATTGTCCTCCCATTTAACAACTAAGATAGCTACACTACATCTAAGCTAATGCCATGGAAATTAAACTAATCAGATTAAGAGAGAGGCACAATCTATCAAGAAATGAGTATGAACCATCAAATAAATCATAAGAGCATTCTATTAAGCACTATGTCTTAACAATCTCTAGATCTATAGCATCAACACACGTAGACATGCATCAACAACACAAGAGATAGAGATAAATACATGAACATCTATCCTAGCATACATAAACATATGGATAGAATGAAATGATCAATTGGAAGAATTAAACCACACATATCATTGAATAAACAAGATCTATGTATATAAATATGTCAAAACATGTATTACAATACAAATCCCCTCAAAAATACATAAATTAAGGAAAAGAAAGCATGCTTAGGTTTAACTCTAGGCATAAGAAGATGTCTAGCCACTTATGAATGGTGTCCTCCAACCCTCAAGGGCTATCTCCATGGTAGAAGTGCTCTTCTTCTTGAGGAAGATGGACAACCTCTCAAGAATGTCTTTAGCCTCCTCTTCTCTTTTCTTCCTCTCTAAGAATTGTATCTAAGACTATCAAAAACTATATGTAAAAGTGGCTCATATTCCTTATATAGGTAGCTCAAATGTCACACCCAATGGATTAGGCTCGTACACAAGGGCTCCTCCAACGATTGCACAATGAGACAACTTTTAATGAGCTGGAGATATATTTTTTTCGGATTTGAGAGGGTTCGATCGATCGAACCTGTGCTGTGATCGATCAAACATGGCTGAGATCTATCAAACTTTGGCTGGATCAATCCTCCCATGGCGGCGCCTTTTTGGATAAGGACAAATCTGAGATATTTTGGGGAATGAGACAAAAGTGGTAGGTAGGGTGGTACAACAGGATAAGATGGAATCTTTTCGATCGATTTGAGAATTGTTGGATCAATCGAACTTTATAGGATCTTTGGATAAGGACAAAAGAGCTTGGATCTATCTTGGAGAGTCTAAATCGATGAACTTTCGATCGATCGGAGTGTTCTTGAGATCGATCGAACCTGCTGAATTTCCACACTTTGCTTCAATCTGCTTCCACTTTGCTCCTTTCTTCCATCCAACTTGAGTTAGCTTCTTTTAAGCTCTTATTTGGTAGAATTGGCTTATTTTGGGGATAAGCACCTAAAAAGGGTGATAACACGAAATTAGTCTAAAACGGGAAAGTAAGATAGATAAAGGTCCTAGAATACCTAAGCTTAAGGGGTTTAAATGCGCACTTTTCAGCGCTCATCACACCCCCAAACTTAAATATTGCTAGTCCCCTAATAATGAACTACAAAGTAAAGAAATGAAATGAACAACTATACAAATATGAATCTAGAAAGTAATAAATGGATAACGCCACTTTCGTAGGGAACACGATTGCATTTAGCGTATGCAACAAGCCTTTTAGACCCCTAGGTTACCCCTAGTGGACAAGTGAAGTCTCGTGAGGGTTTTCAGAAATGATACCCATAAACATTAAGCTCGTTCTCACAAAAGAGGTACCAATATTACAAACAAGTATTGGGAGAAAACTACCTCAAGTATACAAATTTTCAACCATTTTCAAGCAATCTCCCAAAATTTCAATATCAAATAAGGAAATATGGTCCTCCACACATCAAGAAAATGATCATGCAAATCAAAACAACACTAGAATCCTTTTTGAGTGGACCGACATCAAATACATTGCTATCTTAGCCAACTAGAAAAATGACCACATCCTTACCCTCAAACTAGTACACAAATCTAGTACCGATCATCAAGACAAAGAGTAGACATTTTATTAAAGCTTCATTGTTCTAGGTACGCTTATTCTTTCACTCGATTTTTTTTTTTTTTTTAATTCTAAGGATCAAAGATGGAAGCATAGTGCAATATGTTGATCTATTAAGCTTTCTAACGATCCATGAGGTCGAGCGTTAGGTCAATGATTCCCAAACCAGACAGCTT